TTCTTGATTGTTGTGATTAACCGATCGTTGCCTTGGTTTTTTTATCAGTACATTTTACAATGTATAGTATAGATTATGCAATGTATTTGAATTTCGGATTGTAAATGTACAAAAGGATACAGTGAGCTTGGTCCACTCAGTGAGTCAGTGGCATACACTTTTTGTCATTTGGAGGTTTTCTTCCCTTAGGCTCCCTTTGGAAAAGGGAAGAAATCACTTCCACCACGTATGCATCGTCGTCCAGCACATCTCAATGACTATGTTCTCAATTCCGCAAAGACAATCACTCCAATTCTTGTCTCCTCAGGTTCGTCACAATCTGGTACCTGGTTTCCTATTACTAACTTTGTTCATTATAATAAGTTGCATGACAGGTACAAAGGTTTTCTTGGAGCAATTGATGCCACCTCGGTACCACAGAATTTTCGTGAGGCTGTTCAGTTTGCTACGTGGCGCGAAGCTATGGCTGTTGAGTATCTAGCTTTGGAGCGTAATCACACTTGGGACATTGTTGATCTTCCTCTTAACTGTCGGGCCCTTGGTTGTCAATGGGTGTATAGGACTAAGTATCGTTCTGATGGTACTAAGGAACGTGATAAAGCTCATCTTGTTGTTTTGGGCAACCATCAAGAGCTTGGGGTTGATTATACTGATACATTTGCTCCTGTTGCAAAGATAGCCACTGTTCGTGTTCTGTTATCTGTTGCAGTTGCTCGAGGTTAGCAGGTTGATCATGGGGATTTACAGGATGAGATCTATATAAAAATTCCTCCAGGTTATACTCAGTTTTTTTCCTGGAAAGGTTTGTCGTCTTTGTAAGTAAATCCTTATATGGGCTTCATCAGTCTCCTCATAATTGGTTCACTAAACTCAGTATTGCTCTGCGTCATTATGGATTTCGCCAAGCACATGCGGATCATACTCTCTTTGTTCTATGATGGGATTTTAAATAATCAAAAAATGATATTAGGCAATCGGGATATTTATCTCAAAAAAATTCATGGTTATTATTTCGATTTTGATTTAAATGAAATGCTTGATCCTGGTTTTAAAACATTCAAGTAAATGAAAAAAGGAAAAATTATCTCAAATAATCCCACCTTTTAGTTCTCTTTCAAAAATAATCCTACTTTTCACTCTCACCAGAAATAATACCACCTTTCCGCATATGTGCGAGTTTTGGGTCGCCATTAAAAAACTAACGGTCACTTAACGGAAATTTTGAAAAATGCCCGTTTTTCGAAAATAAATGAAATGTGGGATTATTTTAGGTAAATTCTCCCTTTTTCGTTTTTTAATTTCTTTAAATGTATTTTTATTTTATTTTTTTGGAAAAAATACCAAATTTAAGTGTTTTTAGAGTGAAACTAATTGTTTTTTTCAATAACCAATAATATGGTAATAATTAGAAAATAAATTATTCTACACAATAGAGCTATTTTATTAACTTCATAACTAACTACTCCCTCCGTTTGGAAAAAGTGTTCCTCTTTTGACTTTGTGTAAAAATAAGGAAGTATTAAATTATAGTTGACTTCCAATTTTGCACTTGATGTGATAGATAAAAGTAAGATGTGATGGATACATTATTAAAGATAAAGTATGATGTGATAGGTAGGGTATGAAAAAGTAAGGGTAAAAGTGGTTTTTAAATAGAAAGTGAAAGTGTTTTGTTGGAAGGGAAAAAAAATGAAAGAGGAAGTGTTTTTGATAACGGAGGGAGTACATTTTTTTGTAAGTTGCATTTATTGTATTTTTCTTGAGCTGCACTTCAAATTATTTTTTGATACTACATTATTATTATTTCTTAAAAAAATGGCACTACAAAACTTATGAATATTTTTCTGTAGTTCTATATAAATATTTTTTGTGAAACAACATTACAATAGTTGTGAAAATAACACAACAATTTTTTTCTCTAAAATAGAACTTTTATTTTTATAACTCACTACATTTTCTGATGTATTGCAATTTTTCCATGAACACTCTGAAATATTTATTGATAATCTTATATTGCAATAAAATTTTCTTTCTAAATTGGAACTACCCAATTTGTAATTTTTTTAATAATTCAATACAAATTTTTCCCCAAAATAGCAATTCAAAAGTTGTGAAAATGACACTATTTTTTTCTCCGAAACGGAACCGATAAATTTTATAAACCACTACAATTTTTTTTATTGTAATTTCTTTCTTGATCGATACACTGAATTATTTTTGATAATTGAATACTATATTTTCCCAAAACAATTAACAAAATTTGTTAATCGTTAGACAAATCTCTAACAAGAGTGTATTGTTATATTTTTAAAAATATTAATTTTAAATTCAAAACTAAAAAAGTAAAAAGTACATTTTTCTAAAATAATCCCACCTTTCATTTATTTGCAAAAAACAGGCATTTTCAAAAACTTCCGTTAAGTGACCGTTAGTTTTTTAACGGTGACCCAAAACTCGCACACATGCAAAAAGGTTGGATTATTTCCGGTAAAGTGAAAAGTAAGATTATTTTTGAAAGAGCATGAAAAGGTGAGATTATTTGAGATAATTTTTCCATGAAAAAATAGTTTAGAAACGTTTAACAAATGGTTTGTTATTCGCAGAGTTTTCAATACCTCCAAAAGATTTATGTTTGTTTGAGATTGAGAAATTATTTAATTCCAATGGATGGTCTTTAAATGATATACTCCGTAATAATATACTACGTATGCAAAGTCTTTATCAAGATTCAAACTTTGTCATGAGACATTATATATCCACATTAGAGTATTGATAGTATTTCAATAGTTTATTTATGAAATGAAGAACGTTTATAAAGGAAAAAACTTGTTTTAAAAAATAAATATTTTCATAAATGAAATACAATTTTTAAAAATAAGAAATTTTTTCACCATCTTTAGTAGTAACATTTTTTTGGGAATCATAATTTTTGTTGCTTAAAACATGATTTTTCATAACAGAAAAAAATGTTATAGTAGAACTAGAGAATTGGAAATATAATTTTAGTATAGATATATTTAGATTGTAAAATACCAAATGACAAAATATAATTTTCTTTACTCGTTTCATAAAACATTCTAGTTTTGTCATTTCTTATTTTGTACAGTAGAAGTTTTAATATTTCCTCCGTTCTAAAATTACCTTCCTAGTCTGATTTTTTTAGTCAAACTTTTTAAACTTTGACCGTATATTAAGAAAAAAATACATTGAGTTTTCATATAAATTTATTAGCAATAGATTCATTTTGAACACATAGTTTTGAAATATATAATTTTTATAAAATATATTTATATAAAAATTGAGATATTGATGGTCAAAGTGTCGCATTAGAGACCGTGAAAGTCAAATGAGAAGTTAATTTTAGGACAGAGGAAGTATAATTTTAAAAGAAAAACTTTATTTTGTAATTTTACACCAATTATTAAATACTTCCTCCGTCCTAAAACTTTCTTCCCAGAGCACTATTCCAACTTCACGAGAATTTATATTTATTTGTGTTTTTTCATGGCCTATATGATAAAATAAAATATTCTTGTCACCACTTGTTTTGTTTTGACGTAGTTTTTAAATATGTATGTTTTATTTTTTATTTCTATACCAATATTTAAATAAAATAGATTGAAAAAACTTGAGATTTTTCTTCGTTTTGCGCAACGGGAAGAAAGTTTTAGGACGGAGGGAGTATAAGTTCAGTCAAACATTATACACCGAAACATGAACATTAATTTCATGGCAAGGGAGTTTTGCCACACACCACCAATATATGCGCCAAAAATACTACTCCATGAAGTAGGGGTGAGTGCATCTTACGACCCTACGCTTAAGTAGGATAAACCGGGTTTGTTCGGTGTGGTTGGCAGCCATATATGCACCTGATGAAGAGACGTGAGAATTAAATTGCACAGATTCAACCAAAACAATGAATATACCAAGGAACACAAAAGTCATCCATTCCAATTCCCATGTCCAACTAACTAAACCCATGAAAATCAAGTCAAATTTTTTTGTGCCACTGAACGGATTCGAATTACCTTTAAGCAGTGACTATCCCCAGTCAAGAAATGGAAGTGGTGGATATCCACCCTCGGGAGGTGGCATAAGAGAGGGCGGTAGATTACCCAAAGACGTGACTCTATACATATCACCTGCTATGAACACAACAAATGATATATTACAACTAACAAAGATGGACTGTTAAATTTAAGTTCAGAGATAGATATGCTCTAGGGGAGATAACATGGGTGGAGCAAAGGAGTGGCCTCACCGGAGCCCAGGCCACCCCAAATTTGGTACAAGTATCCTTTTATATGGATATTTTCAAGTATCTGATTGTAAAATTCAGTGAAATATAATTTCAGATAAGACATTTTCCCCCCAAAATATATCAAATTGCTACGTATACCTCCTTGTACATATATCTTCAAGTATCTATACAAAATAAGGTGTGACGTTATCAAATTGCTCCGAATACCTCCTTGTACTTATATCTTTAAGTATCGACAAATGCATTCAAAAAATTTGATCTAAAGGAAGATATACATAGATCATAGGTATGTGTCTACACTATGTCTCTATTTTATACCAAACTCAAAAGTTTTCTTATTTAACTTAATCAAAACTTGGAATTTAGACACTGATTTAGAGGACTAGGATAGGTGAAAGTTTTTTGTGAAACTTGATCCTTGTCCAGAATAGTTTCTGCCATATGAAGAAGTGATATAAAAAGGGCCAGCAACTGATAGACATAGGAAGTGTAATAAATAATAGATGACACAGAATAAGAAAAAGAAAACACAACTCACCTATAATTCCATCAGGGTTCCTACTTTGTGTGTTTTGCTTTGGATGATAAAATCTACATGACTCCCTGTCCGGGCATGAACCCTATGAGAAAAGAGAAAAATCCCTCATTACAGTGGATTCAAAAAAGCTACTAATAACAAATCTCTCATTTGGCTGTTCCATCTTAAGTTTGTTACGCTTCAACGCATCATTGAAATGTCAAATTGCCCTTCAACGATAAGGCGTAGAAATCAGCTTCTGATCATTGAAGTTCAGAACTCAAATTACACTTTATAATTGACTATAGATCATTTGATTCGCAATTTCTTACTCTATACAACAGCAGAAAAATGGTGAAGTGCTTCCCACCATAGTTATTAAAGGCGCTCGCCTCTCTCGCCTCAGGCGACCAGGCGAGCTCTCAGCGCCTCAAGGAAGCCAGGCGAGGCGAGATCCCTAAGGCGCGCCTAAGGCGGTCGCCTTTCTCGCCCCAATCACTGCCTCAGGCGTTCGCCTAGCTCGCCATTCTCGCCTCAATCACTGCCTTAAGGCTTTAGGGTATACAATGCATAATATTTATTCCTATATATTACTCCATAATATATATCTATATATATATACACACACACACACACATATATATACACATATATACATATACATACATACATATATAGTATCAATATTATGTGTTTATACATACATACATATATCTGTGTGTGTGTGCGTGTGTATATGTATATGTATGTATGTATGCATGCATGCATGCATGCATGTTCTCCATTTGACCGCCCGCCTCTCGCCATAAAAAAGGTCCTCTCGCCCGCCCCTCGCCACTCGCCATTAATAACTATGCTTCCCACTCAATATTGTCACATCAATGAACTGTAATTTGACAGAAACTAAAAAAACAATTGTGTGGTTATGGCAAGGATAAGATCTAAAGTGTGATATAGCTCATTCTCCCAGGAAAACAGAGACTGAAGCCCAGCTCAGCACGCAGAGAATTTTTTTTTTTCGATTTCTCCTCATTCACAACGAAACCCATTTCTTGTGGTCGATATTTTTGGGAAAGTTGAGTTCTTGGAATGACCTAGAAAGTTCATTCTCCCGACCTACCTTCATCTCTCCCCATCAACATCTCACATCCATCCACGTAAAGATATCTTTCCTTCTTTGGTCAAGCTCTACAAATCCGGCCATTTTCCTTGTTCTATAAGTCTGCCAATTTTCTTTTTTCAACAAATCCGGTGTTCTTTGTTCTACAAATCCAAAATACTCGACACCCAGAGGGAAGAATTGGAGAGCTCTACAAATCGTTCGACGTAGCAAAGCTCATTCTCTGGCGGTCACTTTGACTCCATAGCCGTCGTGACATGCCTGGCTTGCTGACAGCGCAGAGGTTGGGTCAGTTTCTTTTCACAATTTAAGGTTTCAAATCATCTTGTTTTTGTTTATATATCATCCCCATGTCAAATTCTTATTTATTTCATCAATTTATTGTTACATTTCATCTCAAGAACATTTTTCCATTTTCATTTGTAAGTAAATTTTCAAATTGCTAATTATTGTTTAATTTAACTTTTGATCGATCTTTTCCTAAAGTAAATTCTACTCAATCACCTTTCTGGTGGAGTGCTATGTGCTATGATGATTATTTTTTCGTTTATGTTCATTTCAATTTTATGATAATATCCTGAAACTACATACATGCTACTCTTGGTTAATTCTGAAAGATACGGAGTATATTAATAATATCTTGAAACTACGTACATGCTATTCCTAGTTTATTCTGAATAATCTACTCCATATAAATAACACATCATTGAAATGCTGAATTGATTCTTTTTTGTGATGATTGTGGAATATGAATGAAAACAAGAAAAAGAAAAAGGTCAAATAAAACATGATTCTAGTGTTTATGTGGAAGGTAACAAACATTGATGTCCCAAGAAAACTTTTTTCACTGTACAAAATGTGGTACGTGGCGTAGCTTTGCTATTATTTTTGAGTCGCTAGACTTGAGTTTAACCCTTGACCTATGAATTTTGTGCCACAACAATGCAAAATTTCTTCAGTTATCTTTATTTGTTACTCCCTCCATCCCACAATGATGTTCCCCTTAGTATTCACATGGTCAAACTTTTTATCCACTTTCTTTTGCATCTTGTTTTACAGAACTTTTTATGTAATTTTAAAATACAGAAATTTTATTTTTTAGTTCAATGCCACTGTTGTTTTTTATCTGGTCTCAACTGATCCAAATAAGAATTAATAATAAGAATAGGTTGAAAAGAACAAGCTTATACAATAAATTGTAGATACGAACTTGCGACAATTATTATGACACTCAGGTATTGCTGCCCAACATGTTTCAAGTCAGCCATCAACACATGAGTATTAGAAGAGAAATGGATGAAGAGGTGATTTTACAAAACTTGTGCCTATTAAAATCTTTTTCATGTGTTTAGTTTATATGGACTACACAAATAAGTTTCATACTCTTTGGGGCATATTACAGTATGCATCTCCTCTAGGGGGTTATAATTAAGATCAACCAGTAACCTTAAGACATTTAATAATTTGAATGTTTTTCATATAAATCTTACTCTATGGGCATGAGAAGGGTAGAGGTAGACCAAGGAAGAGTTAGGAAGTGATTAGAAAGGACTTATGACTTATCAAGAATATGGACTTAGATGATGATCTAAGATTAGAGTAGTTGGATGGACCTTTTGGGCCTTAGTTTGTAATTTATGTTGGTGCATTTTACCCTAGTTTGTACTTTGTAGCTTGTTTTCATGTCAATACTTTGGGTCTAGTTGCTAATGTCGGTTTGTGTGATTCATGTCTCTTTGCTCTTACTTTACCCTTACTTAGTTCGTGCTACTATATTTACTTTATTTGTACGTCTGTTTTTTAGCAGGAGTCCCTTGGAAGTAGCCTCCCTACTTGATTAGGGGTAAGGACTGCATGCACACATCGTCCACAGATCTTACTTTTTGTGGAGTTTTTCTGAATCAGTTGTTGTCTTACTCTATGAATGATAGGATGTTACCTTTTGATTAAGTACTTGTGCTATTGGTGTTGTAATATAGATTAAGCATACTACCATGCCTAACGATTATAGAGACCAGAAGTATTTCATGATTACAACTCTCTTAACATGTTGCATAGATCTAAGGAAACATCTTCTTCCTTTTTCTTCCTCCTGCAGTTCTTTAGAGTCTAAATAAATGCATGCCTGACNCCCCCAAAAAAAAATATTTTAACCTTTTCAGGATTCTGATTTTGGGTTTTTGTTTGGTAGCCATAATCGTCTTATTTAGCTAATCAACACAAGTAGCATCTCACTATTTTGGTTGAATTCAAGATTGCCAAACGTTGTTCCTTTTAGACAGCTTTTACACTATGTTTGCCAAACGTTGTTCCTTTTAGACAGCTTTTATATGGAAAATATTTTCTTGTTTGACTAGAGAAGAAAACAAAACAAAAGTTGAAGGAAAAGAAAATGAGAAAAAAATACACTAAGAGGACGGGAAACAAGTTTCCTTCCATTTTGGTGAGGAAAAAAGAGAGAGATCTCTTTCTTTTCATGTCCTTCCTAATGTCTCAAACAAAACATAGCATTAATGATTGTTTTCAAGATTTCCATTCTAAACATCTGCTTGGTAGCCATCATTGGCTTGTTTTGCTTATCATGACTTGATCTTTAATTTAATAAAAATTGGTGTATTGATGGGGTTCAAAAATTGCTTTGCATAAAGTTCATGTTCTTAAATCATTTAGAAATATCAAAACTGTGAGGAACTAAACAATTCAAGGTAACATTTCTCAACCCCAATTATTTTTTCTATTTGAACTTTATGTGCTAATTGCACATACCTTAATGTTGCTAATTTGCTGCTGACTTTTGAAGTTGTTTTGATAAATTTGTCAAAATACCATTTGACAAGAGTGGGAGGATATCAGGTGCATTTATAACAGACTTATTAAGTTATTTTGATCAATTTATTGAAATACCATTTGACTGAAGAGATCCCGGGTTGGTCACATTTTTGCTTATCAAAGAAACCACATTATATATTTTCTAGTGTACTTTTCTTCAAAAACTGGGAATGACTAAAATTACTTTAAAAATATATTCTACTAAAAGAGTATGTTCTAGAGTACTTCTAAAGCACATGCATTGTTTTGTTCTTTCCATCAACTCAGACAATTGTATATTCTTGAAAATTAATATTTAAGTTTACATTAAAATTCAGATTTAGGCATTTATTGTATGTGATTTTCATTACATTTTAGAAGAAATCACTTACCGTGCAATACACAAGTACGACCATAGCTTTAAACAGACTAATTAACTTGCAGGTCTTACAGATAAAACGAGAAAAAATAACTTAGTACAATCTAACAAGTACATATATTAAAAACTCCTATCTAGGTGATGGAATAATGGACCTAGACCTACCCTACAACCTTAATCCTCACCGTGAAATGCTGTTATCTCAAGAAATTGCAAGTCTTGTCTAGCCACCTCCTCGCTCCAACACTTATTTAAGTCTCCTTCTACCCTCCTCAAATTCCCTACCTCTAACCTTTCGCACCTCCTCACACGAGAATGAGTACTCATTAACATGTGTCCATTGTCCAAACCATATCAATCTAGCTTTGCACAACTTATCCTCCACAGAGGGGTGGGAGAAACGATGGAAATGTGAATTAAAATACATATAGAGCTACTAATAATGAACTTTTATAGGATTGATGTCTTCAGTTTTTCAGTCCCCAACCACAACCAAGAGAACAAAGTTGCTAATTAACCGATAAAAAAACAATAACTAGGCAAGACCACTTCGCAACTGAATTCTATAAAATTAAAGAGTTGTGCTAGGGTGCCCCAAATGAATGCCCCATGGGTTACACAGACACGCACAAGCAAAATCGTATGTGTGTCTTGTACGTGTCTGTGCAAGACAAGGGGTGTCCATAGAGGAGGCATCCATTTGGGGCACCCAAACTTTATTCAAAATTGAGACGAAAACTTTGATGTGAAGGGAACAGAAAAATAATCCAGACTAGGCAGAAAGGTACCGTTTGAAAGAAGCGGTGGCAGACTCCATTGCTAAAAGATTTCGGGTGGCTATGTACCAGAGGATCTGCTAGAACACCAAAGAACTAATACCAATTTCGAATACATATGTATATAATTGTGAAGTATAAACAGGAAGTAGAGTAACTGACTGCACAAGGACTTGTACCAAAGAGCTTTGGCTCTCTGATGATGGAGGCCCTGAAGGTGGCGCCGCCGAGCCGCAAGCGTGTCCTGAAACTCTTTATCACAATAATCGCAGTAGTATTTCCCCAGCGGCATTTTGAGATTTCAGGCTCTGGTGTGTTTTGGAGTTTTGGGGAGTGAAGTCTGGATCCAAAACCACATGTGTTTGCCAATAATATTATGGGTGGGGTTCCAAAGTCATGAAAATGACCCGCGAGCCTTCCTGTGCCTCGTTCGTAAAATTGACGGTTCCTACTTCCCCTAACCCCCGGTAAACCCTCATCTCGCCCTGACCCGAACACACTCCCCACCCTCCTTCAATTGCACCCCAAAGTCAAAATCAACTTGTGGGGTGCAATTGAAAGGGGTGGAGGGTGTGTTCGGATCGGAGCGAGGTCGGGATTTACCGGGGGTTAGTGGGAATAGGAACCGTCAATTTTACGAACGATACACCGGAGCGCCCGCGGGTCATTCAATGACATTGTCAGGCAATGTCATGGAAAGCTTGGTGTAATATTATTTGTGATAAATGTTGGTGTTTCAAAATACATTAATTTAAAAAAAACTAAGAGCTGGTTCTTTAGTTATGAAAAAAAAGAGTTTGATGTTAGAAGAAATTGGAAGAAACTGAAAAAAATTAAAAGAATCTAAAAAATCTAGTTTTCTACCTCGTGCTTCGCACAGGCTCGTGATTAATGCTGAGTAGAAGTAATCATTTATATAAGTATGTTAGTTCTCATTTTTAAAAAACTCCAAATTTAAGATATTCAGGAGTGTTGTAGTTTAATTTTTTAAAAAACAATTTTATTGAAAAAATGTAGAAGAGTGTAGGAACCATGTAGAAGTCCATAAGAAGGGAAAAGAAATAGCAAAAGAGATAGAAGCGAAATCCCTTTGAACTAAAAGAGGAAAAAAGGAAAAGAAAAAAAATCCAGCATTATAACCAAACTCCAACTCTCATGTTCCAACGAGTACAGCATGACAGCGCCAATTATCTCAATCCAAAATAATGAATAAAGGAAAAAATGCCATACAATAGCCAAACAAACCAAAAAACATCCTTACCAATATTCAAACTTATTAAACTCAAGTGTAGTTCCAACAAAGGACAACCTGGTCAAAATTTGAGTATAGATTTTGGTACCAAGGTGTAGCAAACAACAGTTGTATATACATCCTCCAACTTCATCACCAATATTTTAGCCAAACCTAAGACTCTTCGAAGCAAACAGAAACAGAATCAAACTACAAATAGAAATTGCACAACCAAACAAAACTAAACTTTTACAGAACTAATACCAAGCTTTCTTTTTTCACCTGTTCAATATGTAATTATATATAGTAAACCAAAAAAGTTGACTCCATAAGACATGCAAATGATATTTGACAGCTAAACCCCAACACTAATAAAGATCTGTATTCATAGATTGTAAAACCATATGATTGGGTTTGAAAAAGAGTAAATGAGAAAATGAGTACTTTTTCAGCCAAATGTCATTGATACTGAACTGTCAAGAGACATTATACCTACTTGTACAACACACACATTTTAGCTTTGAGTTGTGTTTAGAGTAATAATGTTTTTCAACAAAACTAACTTCAATTTCTTCATAAATACATGTAATATGTGAGAGTAAATTCATTTTAAAGCTAGAATTCACTTTTGAAAATGAAAAAAACACACAGAATTACCACTGATCAAGGGTATCTTCCTCTTTTTCTTTGATTAGCACTTTGGTAAATGTAATTAACAAAGAATCTCATGCAGACCAACTTTTTTTAAGGCAATTGATTTTGAATTATAAATCTTCTATTATGAACTTGAGGCTTTAGAGTTGTAGAGTACTTTCTTAGAATATCAAATATAGGTTAATAAATTTGCAGTTGGGAAGGTGTTTCATCATTATAGCATAGACGCTTCCACCAAATCAATTATTCAATCAATAAGCGAATTGAATTAACCAACCTTAATTCTTTGTATAGCAAATATGCTCCCAACCCCTCAATGGAACAACCCAGCTGTGTAAAAAAAAGGGAGTGAAAATAATGAATATGTTGTTGAAGGTATGTGCATTGTTTTGCAATAGAACATTTAAGTTTAGCATTGCAAAAAATAATTTGACCAAAGAAAGAAAGAAAAGGATCCATGAAAAATACCTGAAATTTTTTCCATGAAAGTTTAATATCTAGGTAATAAGTGGTGGATTAAATAGATGAAAACAAATCAACGCACCTGTTCCTTTTATCGTGTCAAACACCTTTGAATGAGACGATGAAGATGGGGGGACGCAGAAAACACACCAAATTAGGACACGTGGAGGGCTGATGTGTCATGAAATTAAACCATTTTTAAATGACACATGTCTCATTTTACTTGATGAACTCTCAAATTTTATATTAAAGGATTAGCACGATCCAAAGAAATTAAACAATTACAGAAAAATCCAATAAAAGTGGAACTCTTTTATAATGGGACGGAGATGGTATAACGGATTCATTTTTTTGGAAAATGCTAGAATCACAAACATATAGTTTACAAACTTGTTTTTTCTGAATTTTAAATTAAAACATCTTTTATTGTTTGAATATACCTTATTTCTAGAAAAGTATTTAAAAGATAAGTTTGTAAATTTTATTATTTGAGTATATCTTTTTTTTTTTTTGAATTTTTTTTTGAAGTGGTACAACGGATTCATAATTCAACAGCTAAACTTGTTTTCTTGAGGGGTAAGAAAACATGATGACTATTAAAATAAAAATCGAGTCCAGAGGACTCCACACTCAACATTGCTTCGCTCTTTCTCTCTCTTTCTTTCTCTGGGGTTTTCAGGAGGGGAGGTTTTGAGTTACGAAGCCATGGGATCTGTTATTTCTTCCATCGTTTCTGAAAATCCCAAATCCTCTTCTGCCTCGTCGTCAAACCCGACGACCCCGATCCCAAAATCCCCCGAAACAGATCAATCTTCAGTTCCCAAATCCCCCGAAACAGATCAATCTTCAGTTCCCAAATCCCCCGAAACAGATCAATCTTCAGTTCCCAAATCCCCCGAAACAGATCAATCTACGGAACCAGGGAAGCAAGAAGAAGAAGAAGAAGAAGAAGAAGGAGAGTGTGGGTTTTGTGTGTTCATGAAGGGAGGCGATTGCAAAGATGCGTTTACGAATTGGCAGGATTGCATCAAGGAAGTTGAAACTGAAAACACAGACATAGTTAAAAAGTGCTTTGATGAGACTTCGTCTTTGATGAAGTGCATCAAGGAGCATCCCGATTATTATGGACCGATTTTGAGAGCCGAGAAGGAACTGGAGAAAGATGCCAAGGACTCCCAACGTATGGAAAAAGAAATGGCTGATGATTTCAAGGATCCCCACACGACGACTGCCCAATCAGATGGTTAGAAAATTGTTGCTTTTTTTTGCTGTTCTAAATTGATAGAGTAATTACTTCAGACAATGTGATTGATAATTGGTTGATTGATAGATTAGTTCTTCAATTTAATCTAATTTGACAATTTTTCGCCTCTCCTTTACAACAACTATGTAGTAGAATCCCACGCACGTAGGGCGCTTGGGAAGGGTGCGAGTAAGGAGACATTATTAAAAGTAGAGAGATTGTTTTCAAGAAAAGAATCTACGAGTTAATTTTTTCGATGATAGACATGAAAATATGGTGTGCATTTTTATCCTTCTAAGTGCATTCCTAACTCATATAGGTCCATGTATGTTGTATTGAATTAAATTGGTCTCTGTAGTTCTAAAATAAAATATGAATCAAAATATGGACGAGTTTTATTTATGGCATAAGCTAACCTGCAGGTTGGACTGGTGGAGTGTTACCTAAACCTAAATGTTCCTCAATTTAGAGTTTTCATTCTTGGTAGTTGTGGCAAAATAGCTAAACCAAAAAACCATTTTCCAAACATTGTAAATGGGTGGTTGACTGACTAATCAAATCAGTTATACATGATCAAAGAAGCCAAAAGTGCAGCCATTTTCCCAGGTGGCCATTACCTTAATCTCTTAAAACTTTCTTTGACATGGGATAATGGTTTTAAATCCCCTGATGTTGGGTGTATAAGCTAAAGCTACGCAACCAATCCTGAAAGTCCATATTGTCATCATCTTTTACATGGATAATGATGCATATAAGTCCGTTTTATATGTATCGGTGGGGTTCCCATGTCCGGGTCGGGGCGGGGTGGGGGATTAGAGGGGTGGAAACCGTCAATTTTACGAATGGGGCACCGGAGCACCTCCGGGTCATCCCATGACATTGCCGGGCAATTTCATGGGAACCGTCCCCGTACATGTATTTATCTATCAATATGTGATGTGTTATTTGTTCCTTTTTGGAGCCAATCATGATATGTTGCCATTTGGTTTGGTACGTTTTTGTAGCAATCGACAAAGTGCACAAATAAAGTCTCTAAAATTGAAGTTACGAAAGTTTGATCAAAAGTGGAGACAAACTTTGATATATTTATATTAGTTGCTGGAATAATTGTGTGAGTGATTTTAATAAATTAGTAAAAGTGATCAATTTATTAATCAATTATAAAATAAAAAAATTGTTTGTTTTGTCCACGAGAATGTAAAATTAAACAAGTTAAAACTTCCAAACACATCAATGATTCCTAAAGATAGGACTTTGCTGAAATAATTTTGACAGAGTTATCATTATTTCTCATTTAAATTAAATATGTATACATTGGAATGAAACGTAATTAGTCGTATACATGTACTAATTAGATCATATTTCTAACATTGTGAATTCATGCTTGTAGTATATATATACCTAGCATGCACATTGTTAGGGAAATTATACATTCTCCTTGTTCGCTCTTCAAGAGAAATGATACTCAATTCAAACTAACTCTTATGGGAGGTTAACTTCTGTTTTATGCCACCAAAATCCGGTTCATCAAATGACACAATTTCCGCGGAAACTCTGTTGATCCAATGACGTTTGCGAATTGTTTTGCGGGTCGTCGACTACATATAGAGAAGATATAACATTACTACTTAGATCCACGTTGTTGTTTCTTATTCTTTTCAGGGTATTAAATTTTTAATGTGATTGTTCAAACAAGATGCAAAAGTTTATACTTTGGATTTGGCCAGTTCAATGTTAATTGTCACTAGCCCCCATTCAAGGTAGTTTACGTCCGAGTATGCACAATCTAATCATGTGATCTCCTTGCATGAATGAATTGGTTGGTTTTCAACTTGAACATGGATAACTGTTTTTGTAAGTGAGTGCCATGTTGATTTTTGGTGTGTCTCGAGACATCGGCAACACACGACACAGGAGAGGGAAACTAAGTGGGGATTGTAACACCCTGCTTTCTATTATGTACTCTATACTAATGTTGTACTATATACTCTGTAACTACATGGGTAACTTAAAGAGAAATATTAAGTACTAAGTCTCATGATCCATTTCTAACCGCGGCAGTGTGAAACTTTTATCCAATGTGATAGCTTCTTCAGCATACCGAGCAAAAACAACCCCTCTAAAAACCATATTCAGATTATACCGTAATTTACCTCTCACTATTTTGTCGGGCTGGGGTGTGGGGCGTCTGGAATGTGCATTCCACCCCTATATTAACTATCAAATTCTCGGTGAATACCTTACTTTTGCAATCATAGTGCAAAAATTTGGTCAATTCTAGTCAAATTTACTTCGCCCCAATATATTCGTCAAATTTGACTTTTACGAGCCACATTGGACGAGGTGTAATCATCAATATCTCTCAATTTGCATTGCATATCAATACAATGAAATGAAATTTTAAAAGTTCTCTACAAGATAAATCTAGTTAAATCATTTTAAGATTAATATACACCGTGTGTTTTATTTAATTAAGGTTCAAAGTTCTTCTAATCTGACTTGAGAAGTCAAACTAGACGAAGACACTTGGACGGAGGTAGTACATCGTAAAAGCCACAAATCACACATTTCTTAGAAGGGGTGCAAATCCAGTATAGGGCAACAACAAAGGGCAGCATCTGGTACCACATCAAGGTAAATCTTTCTTACATTTACTTGATCAGATGATTATGCTAAAAGCCAAAGGTTCAAACCTTCAAGAAAGGTCACCCACCAGAATTATCTGAACAAGAGCATATAACTGCTTCCACAAATTAATATCAACAGATGCCTCTGGTGACCTAAAAACACAAGTCAGGAGGGCTGAGTATTGTAGACTATGCATATGCAAGTATGAACTGAAACAACTTGAGGAAAAATCTGATAAAAAAGGGCTGAAAAAAATAATATTCCTATGGATGGATACACAATGAGCCTTTCACAACACTTGCAAAAACAATATGCAAGAGCAATAAACATGCATGTATAACAATGGCTATACAAAGATAACCACTGCTAACACATAAACTATGTTAACAAAATCATTTATTATATCTTGAAAAATGAAAACAAAATTACTTTTTCTACCTTCCAAATTTTAAAAATAGAAAATATAACCTATGTTTACTCTACCAATTTGTTATGTTTTAAAGATGGATAACTATTCGTATATTTTTCATTTTTCTAAAGGAACTTTTTTTGTTTTTACCCCAAAAAAAACATTCTGATGTACGAATCAATCATTATATTGATAACAAACAATGAGTCAATGACCAGTTGACCACCCACGTAATCCATCTATGGCAGCCATATCACAATGAGCAAAGTCATTGCCAGTTTGCCACCGTTAGCAATCCTGGCCCACCCGCCGTGACCCCTATCAATATAAGCACAAATTCTGCATCAATTGTTGACCACTATTACCACCATTGTACTATCCTACCACTGACAAATGGCACCACCACTAACCGCCATTACTTACAGCTTTTGTTTTCAATTTTGACATCATCACCACCAGTATCATCGCCAACCACAACCATGGAAACAGATATGACTAGTTAAGATCCAAATGATACCCATGATCCGATATTCAATTCATAGCATGCTCCTTTAAATTGAATTTTATTCACTAGTAATCCTTAATTCCTAGTGCCATTAATTATTTTGTATTCTTTGAAAAAATTTCACTTTAAATATGCTATTTGTTTGGCTACAAATTTAGCATATAGGGCCAACAATTATATTACCAAACATGTTTTCAACCATGTGAACCAACTCGAGTCCAAAAGGAATGTACTCTTCACCATTCCTCTCAAAATACAATCCTCGTGGAAAACAATCCTCTTACCAAATGAGTTGACAATGGCACCAGATTTTTAACTTGTCAAATGGCGCTCTTGTCATGGAACTACTAGAGGACACGATCTGGGTCCTAAGTAATTAGGTTTTCCACCCATTATTATGTTGACTCATTACAACCCCAAAATGTTTACGGGGAGTTTCCAAATGTTATGGGTTTCAAAAACATGAAACACGGCCTCTCAAGACTGTGCATCATAGTTGCCAAGTAGGCAGCATAAATTAAACAAGGTTAAGCTTGATTCTAGAGACAACTAAAAGTAATTAGGCTGGACCAAAGTTAAACAGAAGCTCAAAGCTCAAACCTGCATACCATTGCAAATTTTCAACATTAAATAGAATCCCAAAAAATCCTTAATATTGCAAACTGACCTCAACCTCTTGCTTCAGCGGGTGCATCAGGTTGTTTCTCTGGCATAGCATTTTGAACAGCAGGCACCTCTTTGTATGCATCATATAAACGAGATAGAAGAGGGAATTCACTCTGCACATTAGCATAAAACTCAACACAAGGCAGGAAAAATCTTTGGTTGAAATGGAGAGACAGATATATACAATGAATTTTGGAACAACTTTCATTCAGTAGTACTATCTTTCCCATGTAAACACAGTTGCTGAGCACAGTGTAACAGCTAAGTTATAAATTATAATAAGTTGTAAGGAACAAAGAGAAATCAAGCAAAATAAGAAAAATGAAGTGTAATGACATCATGAAGGTGAATAGGAACACAAGAAATGTTGGTTCTTTTCCGTTGGGCACAGAGGAGGCTGACACATAGGTTATAGTTTTGCATAGGTTATACTTTTGCAGGGTTGAGTAGAGCCAAAAAATTGATCACCACATATTAGTATATTACACCTAAATAAAACTTCCAATACATATGAAGACATAATGAACTGTAAACAAATGATATAGATTTTGAGGAAACTAATAGCTCAACCTACAAGTTAAATACAAGGAATTACCATATCCATATTGAATCTGTTGACAGCTGCATGGATTTGGGGCACTAGAAATAGATCAGCCTGTGAGTTCCATCCATCAAGTTTAAATGCTTTTGCAAGTATCTCAAACATAATTTGGACAAGCCTACATTCAATATGAGGACATAGTACAGGACTACAGGTAATATCTGATATTCAAACATCTAGGGATGGGAATGGGGGTTCAACTTAGAGACTCCAGGTGCCCTACG